GCATTCTTAGGTGCTATGCATCTGCTCATCACTGGCATGAATTATTTCTTGTTTTATCTCGTAATCCTATAAAATAGGGATAATCTCGTTTATCTTGTAGAAGAGGAAAATGAGGCTGAAAATTATTAGGTCAGTTGCCCAAGAGAAGGAAGAAACAGAGGTGGCTTTGAAATTCAGAGGGACTGATTGAGAAATTTCCCCTGTAACAGTCTGAGAAAGTGGAGTACATAGAAGACCCTGTTTGACTCATGAGTGAGAGGAACCTAAAGAAGGAAAGTAAGTGTTAGCAGCCTACAAAGGAAGTAAAAGTGGATTTCCTACTAGATTGGCTGAGAGTAAAGAACAGAGATGTGAAAAACATGTGAAGAAGTAGAAGAAAAAAGGCTCCCTTTCAGTGGATAAAATGCAAAAAAGGCACCCAAATATATAGAGATAAATTGCAGTATGATAGTCCTTTCCTCTAGCTGGTGTAGTATCATCCCAGGATCCACTGTCTGGCATAAGGAGCATACTTACTATCTCAGCTTTCCTCCTCTCCCAGATGCTTCTGAACAAGGCACAACCTGAAAAACCCGTAAGAAATATCCCTGGACATAGAGAGCCATACTTGATATTAACACATGAACCCAAGGCTTTAACCATAGAAAAATCAGCTTCCATCACATATCTCTTCTTGTCTTTATATCATATCATATAGCTAGCTTCTTACTATAGATACTTTGCACAGCTGCTACTACTTTCTCCTATATGGCATATTTTAAGGTTGAGAGCAACCACAGGAAAATAAAAGCTTATCTTATATTGGAAAACTTATTGTGCAATGGAAAAATGACCTCAAGTGCACTCAGTAAAAGTTATATAAAAGCATAAATCCTAGCCACAGCTGCAGTGTATTAGAGACTACACATTACATCTGTAAATAATTGCAAATCCATTCGGGGTATGATTTTAGGTGCTATAGGAGACAGTTTTGGAAACATATTTAAAGAAGCACTGCCGATTCCCTAACTGCAAGAAAGGCAGGTCACATATCACATAACCAACCATACACCTGCTACATTTCATAGATGTGCTAAAAAGAAGCACCTTTATAATTTGCATCTCAATGTTAATTATCTTATATTTAATATATTATATTTAATATATAATCTATTAAATTTATATGCATTCTGTTGAATAAATACAAGTACATATAATATTTTAGAGTTATTTTAAATTCGTTGTTTCCTGTAGCTTAATTGCATGACAAGTTTGCTTTTTTACGTCTTATAAAATCTTCACTCAGACTTTGTCTCATTTTTACAATACTCATTATTTTCTGAAACTCATACTGGATCAAGCTATTTCATCTAAAATTTGCCAGAGATCCATCAATATATTCTGCTGCCTGGGGTATTAAATTTGATGAAACATTCCTCGTGAGTAGAAAACAAAAACAACTGTAAACAAAGATCAGAAATAGAAACCTTCAGATTACTGTTGGAAGCATGTCAGTATTAAAAGAACACTAAGTTTATTTAATAAATGATCCTTTGAACTAATCTCAATATTATTATAACACCTATTAAATCAGATACACAAAACAGGTCATAAGAGCTACCCTTACTTGATGGTTTAGTATCATAATTATTTATACTAAAAATGTTAATAAAATACTAATAAAATCCATAACTTAGGTACTTTTTTAAAAAAGTAGGCTCCATGGCCAGTTTGGAGCCTGATGCAGGGCTTAAACTTACAACTCTGATAGAGAACTGAACTGAGATTAAGAGTCTGATGCTTAAGCAACAGAGCCACAAGGTGCCCCAAATTATATATAATTTTATCCTCAAGATTTCAGTTGTTCTCATAGATATTTTCTGTAAGATATACAGATGGTATTAATGGTAGTAGTATCCATCAATAGCTACCACTTCACTTTGACAAATGTCCCAGTTACTCCATAAGCATTTCAAAATGAGTAAAAAGGAAAAATTTCTATTTTGTTTTTAAAAAAAGTTTTCAAAATTATACCTACAAAGTATCAGAGAGAAAATATAATACTTACATTCTAGTCAAATTCTTGTAAAGAATTCATAAAGTCATCATTTTTTCCTGTAATTTACTCCAAACATTTCATATCCTTTTTAACAATAATTACAATTCATTTCTTCATGCATTCCTTCAACAGTCTTTCTTTTTCTTCTTCTTTTTTTTCTTTAATAGGCTCCATGGCCAGCATGGAGCCCAATGTGGGGCTTGAACTCATGATCCTGAGAGCAAGACCTGACCTGAGATCAAGATTGGGTGCTTAACCAACTGAGCCACCCAGATGCCCCCTTCAACAGTCTTTTTTAAACACCTACTTCGCATCAGATGTCAAGAAGAATAAGAGTAGGACCTGACTTTTTGAACCCAAGTAAAAGAAAATTAGAAGAGAAAAACTTTTACACTCCACTTTAAATGCTACTGCCTGGAAATGGCACACATTATCACCTCCACTCACATTTTATTGGCCAAAACAAGTCTCATAGCTACAAATAGCTACAAGGGGGTGAGAGCTCAGAAGAAAAAGGAATCGTGGTTCATTGTATAGTCTTAAGAGAAAAAAAAAAAGAGTACTTTTTTTGTAACCTTCTCTGTCTTCTCTTAACTTTATTTGTGCACATTATTCCATAACATTAAATATAATTGTACATTGTTTCCAATATATTTTTGAATTTGAATTTATGAGTAGACCACAAATGTTCTAACAAGAATTTTCCTCTACTACTACTTCATACTGAAAATTAGGTTGGTTCCTATTTTTTAATAACATAATACAAAGCTCTAAGTTCTCCTTGAAGTGAAATTTTGATGTCAAGGATAATCCATACTTATTTTTATTTTTTTAAAGGTTTAATTTTTTTAAGTAATCTCTAAACCTAACAGGGGGCTCAATCTCAACCCTGAGATTGAGTCACATGCTCTACTGACAGCCAGACAGGCACCACAAAGATAATCCAAATTTAATTTTTTTCATTAAGACTGTTTGGTTTGCTTCCAGAAAGTTACCAATTTAATAATTTATTGACCAATGATGTCTGTTGTCTACCTAATATAAATGAGAAGGCAATCTATTAGGTTAGAAGTTGTGAATCATAGGTAGAATATGGCATTCTCACTGATTAGTGCATGGAGTGAGAACTATAGTAACACAAAGAAAAGAATCATTCATTGAGCTGTGAATGTCGTTCAGAATGTTTAAAAAAAAACAATGAATTTTATCTAAGCCTAACATAATAGGTGGAGTTTCAATAGGCATTTGGAATATGAGAGTATAATTCAAATGAGAAAAATAGCATCATCAAAAGGATGGTGGTAAGAAAGTTTAAGGTATATCTAGAAAAGTACTAGGCCATTTGGAGTAAAATGAAATTTTTTTCTTTTTTAATATTTTTTAAAATTTTTATTATTAGGTAATTTCTACACCAAATATGGGGCTTAAACTTAAAACCCCATGATCAAGAGTCACATGCTGGACCAATTGAGCCAGCTAGAAGCTCCTATTTTGTTTTGGTTATACATAGTGAAAAATAAGCAGGACAAGGAGCTTTAGGCCAGAATATAGAGGAATTTGAATGTCAGCTATTAGATATTAAATGAATATTCAACAGAAACTTAAGACAATGACATGCAGAAAGAGAAAGGAGAATGGAAACTACAGCAAAGGTTTGCAGTTGATCTCATGGGGACAGAATTTCAGTAGTGAGGTTGACCAAGAAGGAAAAATTGCAAGAGCCATTGTGAGAGATAAGCTCTCAACTGACTCAATGTAGAGGTAAGGAAGAAATCAAAGATGATGTCAAAGGATGGAGCCTGGGCAATCAGAAAATATTCTGAAAATTAACTAAAATATATATTAGAGAAATGTGGCTTTTAGTGAAGAATATAAAAGTTTGCCTTTAAAACTTTAAGATTACTAAAAAAATTTTAAAAAATAAAACTTTAAGATTAATGGGATAATGAAACTAAAATAGACTTGGCACATGGGAATGGAAAAGGAAATACTGGTACATATTCTGGATGTGAGACCTAATTTGTATAAATGGATGATTTTCTCTAAGAAAAAAGAAAAAAAAAGTATAATACTGTAACAAAGGAAGGTTGATAAAGGTCCACAATTGAGGAATGTGAAAAAAGAGAAGGCAACAAAAGTGAGAAACTGACAAACCAGAGTGTGAAATATATGTCATAAAGATTCCTCTGCATGAGTAGACAACCGTTTTGTTTTGGTTTTTAGTTATTTTTAAATTTTTTAAAATTTTTTTTGGAAACAACAAACTTTATAGGAAACTTAAAAAGGACCAGAGTGAGAATTAAGAAAAATAAACATATGCAATTGTATCTTCAAGAATTTTCATGGAACATTATGACGCATTAAATTATCTACATTCTCTAACAAAAATGAACTGATCTGAGAAAAAGCAGCCTGAAAATATTCTACTGCAGTGTTGCCCAAAAGAACTTTCTGTGATGATGGAAATGTTCCATAATCTCTGTGCTGTCAAATACAGAATTTACTAGCCCCATGAATACTCACAATATGGCTAATGCAACTGAGGAACTGAATTTTTAATATAGTTTAAATAGCCACGTGTGGCTAGTGATTACCAATTGAACAGCACAGTTCTAATGCCTCATGGGTCAAAATCAGTGGTTTCTTCGAGGGATTTCTCTAATGACTGCTGAGGCGTGTAGAGGGTTGGGGGTGGAAAGAGAGGAAAGCTCTTAACAGCTCTATTTAACTGCTTAAACAAGTTCTGAAACTCTCTACAGCTTTCAGAGGCAGGGGATGAGGAAAGGACTCTGGAAGACCTGAGTATGCCCTTGAACTCCTGGCCAATGCCAATGGAAGTAAAAGGCCTAGGATTTGGCTCGCTCAGACGGAAAGAGGTCTATGGTGCCACTCACAGAATCTGAGGCTTGGGCCACCTGTGTGTGGAAATCTTGGCTGTGAGGCTGGCGGAGAGGTGAAGTGCTCATTTCTGGACAGGGTTGCCACGGCTAGAAGAGGATTTAGAAGTGGAGGGATGACCCGAGGGCCCTTTCTGGCCACCTGGAGGCTGGACAGGCCCTTTCTTTTTGGGGTTTAATGTCTTGTTCTTGCTCTTGAATACTCTGCTGGGATCCAGCTTGTTCACGAAGGAGTTGGTCTCTTCTGCAAGCAGGTTTGTGTTGTAGGTGATGGGTTTATACATGTTGAATCATTGCTTGGCTTAGGGGCTAATGCCATAGCTGGTGAAGGCACACTGCCACTGTGGCAGGCCCAGGTGCGTGATGAGCAGGCGATAGTAAGCGGTAAATGTATCTGTGAGAAAATGCCAGTATAATGCTCTGTCCAGGAACCAGATCTCAGTGTCTTGCGCTAATGCTGGTTTCCCTGTTTTGTAGACAAGGCAAACCTTCCCATTCCCATTGCAAGGATCCAGCTCAAATATCACACTGCGAGAATCAAAGTGAGGCTTCTCTGGCTGGTTCTCACTGGCTTCAAGTGTATCATCCTCCAGGTCTGCCAGAGTTGGTGCATTAGGGAGTGAGTACACGGAAGACTGGTTGAGTTGAGTCAGTTTTGAGATGCTGTTAATTGACATGCTGCCCAATGGAATGGTGTGTTCATCCAGCTTCACACTCCATGTCATGTGGAAGCCATTGGTCATCAGGTAAAAATTCTTCACATCCTCAGGTAGCATGCAGTTATTTTTTTGTTCCCATGAAGAAATCATATGACGTTCAGCAGGTGGTTTTTCTATGATAGTCACCTCTGTCACACCTGGGGAAGATTCGAGGATGCGGGTGATCCCCAGGGTCAGCTTCTCCAGGTGCGGCTTGCTGCCGCCCGGGGGCGGCGTCTCCTCCATGGCTCGCGGCCCCGGGGACCCGGCGGGAGAGCCTGGTGGGATGGCACTACGCTGCCCCAGAGGCTCGGACATCAAGTTTGGTTTTTATTTTTACATGGGCCACTCCTTGTTGTTATCATGCATATGTTAGAAGGAGTACAACTTGCCATTACAATGACCGAGATGTATCGATTAACTCTGCTATTAAATTTGGGCAAGTTTATGTTCCTTTCTTAACTGATGTCCTCATCCATTCAACAAGAATGATTACACAAACTTTATTTTATTTGTTTGAGGATACATACAATAATGTATGTAATAGTACCTGGCATCATTCTTAGTAAAATAAATCTTCAATAAACATAAGTTGAATACAGATTCATGTATTTTTAACCAGTTTGACCATACAGTATCTGGGAGATGACATATACGTAGTATGTGTTCAGGAAACATTTGTTTCAGGACTGGGAAAAGATAGACTTTGGAACTGGAAAGTAAACTGCAATATGATTAAACTCATTTTCCATCCTGGATTAATCCAAAAGGCATTTCCTCAATTCGCTAAAAGTATTTTCAACCTCCTTAGTTCATCCTACTCACAAAGGTTACTCTTTATATCTGGCACTATTAATAATTTCTTTAGTAAGAATAGTCATTGGTCTGATCACCAATGACTATTCTTAGCTATGGATGGTTCTCCTAACCCTGTGGTGAATCGTAGGATTATACGTTTTGGCTCCCTTGTGATTGAGAAAGTGTATATGATTAGTTCATGACAGTGCATTATAGAAAAAGTGACATTTGTGAATATTCAGTCAGTCTAGCTCTTTGGGTGAAACCAACCTGACATGGACATATACCATGAGCAAGAAATAAACCTTGTTGTATAAACCAATAAGAGTTTGGATTTTTTGAAAATGCAACATAACTTAGTCAATCTTGATTAGTATATTCAACTTATTTGTGGGAAAGTCCCTTCCAGATTTGCTAATTTTAAAATCTCAGCACCTCCAGTACCACTAGGATTATCATAACATTTGCATTTTTATGATTTAAAGATGAGCTAAGACACTACAGTAGACTGATGTATCAGAAACTAACTACTATAAAATATGTAAATAAAGGGAGACCATAAATATATTGTCATATTTTTTATAAGTAGGCTCCATGCCCAGTGTGGAGCCTAACATGGGTCTCAAACATAACAACCCTGAGATCAAAACTGAAGCCAAGATCAAGTGTTGGATGACCAACCAACTGAGCTATCTCGAGGCCCCTGTTACTATATTCATTAAGGAAATCAGCAAATCTGTTCCTTTAAGACATTAGAGGGGGTTAAAAAGAGGTTGTCTATAAGCAACTTCTTTCTATTATTGCATTTTGATTTCTTGACTCTGGAAAGTTCTTACTAAGATAAAACTGTTGTGTTCTCATTGGATTGGAGAAAGAGGGCTGGTGAAAAGACTGATGCTCTTGTTTTATAATTAAGGGTACAGTTGGTGTTAAATTGGCTAGCTAATAGATATTTTGGAGGAAAAATCAAATTTCCTAATGAAATTTGTCAGGTTTTTTTTTTTATGTAACTGGTAAAAAAAAGTCATATGTTTTACTGTAAGTACCAAATCCTATTGCATTCAATAATCTATGAGGTATCTACTATTCTAAATGAATGTCTTCTGAAGAATTCTTGACCAAGATTGAAAAACATACACCAGAGCAAAACAAATAATCTATTTTTACTTAAGGAACTTCAGTTCGGTTTTTCTACTGAAGTACTGACTACCTATTACTATAATCATCATCCTTGATCCGTGTCCCATTTAAGTGGATGTGTTCACTGCTGTTCTTGGTACCTGATGAAGGGTTGAATGATGGGGTGCCTGATAGTATTTCCATGGCAAATGCTACTAGTGGTTGATAAAGCCAGGCCTCTAGGGGCCAATTTTCTAAAACTCATGGGGAAAAATAGGAGCAAGAAAATGAACTACCTGGTTATATATTTTTTTTTCATTGTTTCAAGGAGACTATTTTCAAGAATGATTGTGACAGGAATAAAAAGACAAGGACAAGCAGCCCCAAACTGTCAAAATTCCAGCATTTTTGCAGCTGCTTTCCTGATATATGCCAATGACTTATGCCAAAGAGGAGGGGAAAGAAAGGAAGAAAAGTTTCTTTTCTCAAAGATGATGTCAATATATCTGAAGCACTGGCTAAGGATTAGTGTAGATGGTATTATTGACAATTTGTCTTTAAGGACAGATTAAGTTTCCCCATTAAAGGGTGAGAACATCCTGTCACAAACCTACAAAGTACTTACCAACCTAATGTTGAAAGGAGGATATACAACTCTTTCACCTATAATATTAGGTCCAATTATTAAGTACCTCCTCTGTTCTAGGCTCTGGGCTATAGCTGCACCAAATTTGAAATTTTATTTCTCAAAATCACCCTGTGAAATTATTATTATTGCCATTCTGTAGGATGAGAAAAATTTCTCAGAGTTCAGTCCTTTGTTCAAAATTGCATGACAGTGAAGTAGTATCACAGTCCTTTCTAATATAATGCAGTTGCTCTCCCTCTATCCATCAAACAAATAACACTAACAACTGGTAGAGTAAATCCAAGACAAAGAAAAGAATTTTAAAAGCAAGTGAGAGGAGAAAGTTAAAAAAAAAAAAAACACATGAGGAAGATTGCCTGCTTGAGATTTTTTTTTTAAAGGAGATAGGAGAGATAAGTAATTTTGTTTCAATTTGCCATGTTAATCAAGGTGAATTAGAGACTATATCTTGCCAAAAGGAAGGCTATGAATGGGTTATTGGCCAGTTCAGTCAGGAAAAGATTGGCAATAATTGAGGAGGGAAAATAGCTTAATATGGGGATAATCCCTGGCTAATTTAAAGAAAAAGGTGGTTAGAAAGTATCAATTACCTCCTCTTTTCAAATGTTAAGTAGATTTTTATTATGAAACATAATTACTTAATGTCTCACATAGTTGACTTTTAAGACAGCCAAAGCCTAACCAGAATCTTAGTGAAATCTTTTAAACAGACGTTCAGGAATGAGACTGCTATGGATTTTGTTTTTGACATCTGGGGATTTTCAATTTGGGCATAACGTGTCATTCTGGCTTCAACACGTGGGAAAGTTCTGGATTCTGGTGCCATTTAATTTCCATTTGGCCCCACACACACTCCTTCAGTTCTTGTATCTCCTTTACCTTATATGCAAAATGAAGAGAACCTATGTTTTAAGGATTTTGTGAGGGTGAAATGAGATAATAAATGCCATGGCATTTTGTGCAAATGAAAATGGTGATTATAATCTGTGCACCTTCATTTTGGTTCCTTATACCAGTAGAAGGTTCAACTTTATTACTCTAGCTATTATACATTTTAGTGATTTTTCTTAGTTTTTGTCCTCCTTAATTAGTCCTTTCTCAACGGTAAGTTGCCAACTGAATGAGTAGCAGTTTGATAGTTTCTACCTTATATTCTAAATTAATTGTACTAGAAAGATCAATTCATTCTGCTGATGAATTGATTCTAGGTTTTAGAATCAAAAAGACCTGTAGTTAAATCTCTACCTCTGCAAATTCCGAGCTCTGTGATCATGGACCAGTCATTTAGGCCCTCTGAATTCATTTCTTCATTTATAAAATGGGAGGATGAAAGTTCAGAAAGATCATGTATGTATAGGCAATGGTACACTCTGATTAGATGAAGTATATTTTCCTTTATCTCTCTCAGTTTTGTATTTCAGCTCTAAATCCAGAAGATAGGCTCTCTCCTACGTAATTTTCATATACAGGCCTGATTCATTATAGTGGTTTAAGGAAGTTGAGTAAATAACAAGACAGATGGGGTCATGAGCACACAGGTACTCCTGAAGGGGAAGAATATCCCAGATTTCTCCTTTTGTCGTAGTGCCACTGGTGTTTATGAAATTGACCAGCCACTTCCCTTTTCAGAATGACCAGCTGCGAGGGCTTAGCTTGCTTCATGTAGCCAGAAGCAGAATAGCCAGGATAACAAATCACAGCTGAGTTCCCAGGTTGATCTGGAGCATGTACTTGGCATAGCAGACTAAATTCTTATTATCTTACGCATGGAGTTAATATGAGCCTCATTAATGACAGTTATTGTATGATTACCTGGCCAAAAACAATGGACATATTATTTTTATAGATTTATTCAGTGATATCTGCTCAACCAACAATTATTTAACACTTTTGTGTTAAGCCCTATACTTGACACTGGGGACTTAAAAAAAAAAAAAAAAAGAAAGAAAAGAAAAAAAAAAGAGTAAATCAAGGTCACTGCTTTCCAGGAACATGAAATTTAGAAAGAAAGAGAAATAGATGCACCATTGACTATTTTACAACCATGACAAATTCTAGATGCCTAACAGGGTATGATTAACCCTACCCACATTGTGGAGGAGGCAGACTTCTCAGATAAAGTTAATTTTCTTGGATCCAAATTGTAAAAGTCACAGTAAGGGAACAGGGAAGCTAAAATTAAACAAAATGCGAATGGGCTGGGTTTCAATATTCTCATGAGTTGGAAGATGATTCAGTTACTAGGAAGAACCGGAAAAATGATTTTCAAATACTTCTTCCCTTGTCTCTTCCTGGATTCCCAAGGATAGCCCAGTGTGGATGCCCCTTGAAATAATTCCCCACCACTGTGTAACCAGGATAGAGCAGTTCTCTGGTATCTTAGAGCTAGTCTCCTTCTAAGCCACATGGCTTATTTTAAAAGCTGGGAAGAAGGTGTAAGGGGTGTTTGCCAAAAGTGGCAATTGATCTGCCCAAACACTGGGAGGGCTGACTCTGCCCTTGCCAATAGTCATTTGGAGTTATAGAGAGACTCTGTGACACTTTCGAAGTTCTTTAGTCTCAACTCCCACTCTCTTCAAACAATCTGCAGAAATTAAAGTCTTCTACAGTGCCTCAATATTAGAAATGTAATTCCCTAGATTTTGTTTGTACATAAATGTCAGTACTATAGCTGTACACCAATACTTC